CAAACATATTTTAGAAATGAGCAATACTCTTGACAAAAATTACAGACATAAACTATTGGTATTCCAGATGGCCGTCCTGAAAAAGTATGCAACAGATCTATGAATAAATATAAAAAATAATGCAGTTCCAAAAATATTAGATCCGCATGTGGTAATGAAAGAGAGGGTAATATTTATTACATCAGCTTTATATGTTCGATTTGCACTATGCGTGCCTTGCTTATTATATATATATATATATTGTTTTGTANGAATTATCAGCACAGAAGTAAACAGGATTTCACTGCAGTTTGTGAACTGTGCTTAAATGCATGAACACGCGTCGGAATTCTAAACATAGGCTCATGTCGCGGCACGCCGGTTGAGCAACACAGTTTTAGCATACATACAATAGCCATGGAACCTGACATTTCTAACAAATGCCTAAGGTGACGGAGAAACGTGACCGTATGTGGTTTCTTCAGACACTTGAATTGAAATCTCATATTTCCTATTTGTATTTTTAAGGGTAAGGGGCTTTTCACGGAGCCGGGATAACGTAGTCGGTATAGAGACTGGCTACGGGCTGGATGACCAAGGGGTCGAAGTTCGAGTCCCGGTAGGGGCAAGAATGTTCTGTTTTCCACCGGCTCTGGGATTCACCCAACCTCCTATCCAATGTTAGTTCAGCTAGGGGCAGCTCCCTCAAATAGAGTCTTTTCACGTAAAAAGGTGGTTGGTAATACATATTCATAAGTTACCGGGGTGTGAAGCTGGCCACTCACTTCCAGCTAGTTCCGAGGTCAAGAAAATGTGGATCTATACATCCACTCCCACATACGTCTTCATGGCGCAATGCTTAATTAGTTAAGCACAGGGACAACTTTAATTTTACCTACATCATTTTGCGTCGACGAGTGGAGTGTAGTATTTACTGTATTAATTAATCGTTTAAAGATTGAATTTTTTAGATACTATATAGAAATTCAGTTCGTACCTCACGGGAAACACATTGCGTCACCGCTACAAAGACCAGTCGGTTAATGCTGTTTGGAGAACCACAGGAAAGACAAAAATACATTCTTTAGGCAGAATGTAGGGTTTCAGAACGTTAAAGTATGTGATACTGGGCTTTAAAGGGTCAAACAGTGTCTAACTCCATAGATCAGAGGCTTTTATGAGAAGATAACAGTTGTGTAGATAGTCATGAAATTCCCTCCCCCCACCCTTAAAGGAATTGGAAGGTTCATTAGCGTGTTCACAACAGATCGTCTCCGTGTAACGTTTTGCAATATGCTGTTTTTTTTTTTACTGAGAATTGTCAGCCTTCCGCCTAACCCGCAAGATACAGGAACACCCTTGTCGGCTGTCCTGGATTAATTATTCGGTATATTCACAGCTACCCTCCGCACATGGACTCTGTTTCCATTATTAACAAACTGAAGGACGTGCCCCATAGCAATGAAAAGGACTTGGATTGATAGAACGAGAGAAACGCAACAGAAAAGTTTGCGAGAATGGGGGATTCGAACAGTGAACGCTGCAAGGCCAGCTTATTGCAGTCGGTATAGCAACTGGGTACGGGCTGGACATCCGAGGGTTCATAGTTCGAAACCTGGTAATGTCAAGAATTTTCTTCTCTCTACGTCATCGAGACCAGGTGTGGGCCCCACACAGCCTCCTGTCCAATGGATACCGGAGGTAAAGCGGCCGCAGCGTGAAGCTAACCACTCATCTCCAGCTATTGCCGAGGTCAAGAAAACGTGGATTTATACATACACTCTCCTATACATCTTCATCCCGTAGTGCTTAATTAGTTAAGCACGGGGACAACTTTACCTTTTATCTTTTGGAAGAAAGGTGTATTTGCTCCGTTAAATGCAACTGGATAATAAGATAAAAGGTAAACTTGTCTCTGTGCTTAATTAATTAAGCACAGCGCCATGAAGACGGGTGGGGAGTGGATGTAGAGATCCAACCTTCTTGACCTTGGCGTTAGATTGAGTTGAGTGGTCTGCTTCACGCTGAGGCCGCTTAACCTCCGGTACCCGGGCCTCAGAGCCAATCTTGGACACTGTGGAGTAGAAAGATCTCTTGCTTTTACCGGCAATCGAATCCAAATTCATCGCCTGTCCGTCCCGTGCACTAGTCGCTGCACGGACTGAGCTATCCCGGATCCATCACTGTAAATAACAATTAAGGGAAATATAAGCGAAGTCTATTTTAAAACGGGCTTGGATACAGACTGTGTTCTTAAAATATTTGTTTAGAAATTCATAATTTACCTTCACACGACCATTGTGCTTGCTGTTAAGAAATACTAAAGAATACATTTTTGAACTTGTGCCTTGCGAAGTGTGAGTGAACAGAATTTTGTTGACTAGTTTCTGTCTTGTATATGAAGCTTGGAATTCATGCGAAATGAGGTAATGTTTCTATAGAAAGGTGGACTCAGGTAATAAGTTATTTTTCCCTGTAAGAAGTTTTCTTCAAGTTAATGCCATTCTTTTGTTTTTCATCCTACTCCAGACAGTTTTTCCACAGTAATGTTCTCGTCATTTCAGATAAAAAACATGAACAGCGTGGCAGTTGGCGGGGGAGGGTGGATAACAGAAAGTCAGGAGTTGTTTCTTGGTTTGCAAGTTGTGGCAGATAGCCATGCGATCGACACGGCAACAGGGAACTGTGTAAGCGGGGGTAGCAAGGCTATGCAACTCACAGCCGGTCCCTCGCTGTCCTTACTGCTTCGTACGTAACTCCTGCAACGAGAACCGAACCTGCTACTTAGATCCTATTCTGTTTCACGTTTTGAGACTTTACATGGGATTTTGTTTGTAAAACAATATGTATTGATATCGTTACAATAATTTTTAGGAATGGTCTTGCATTAATGATTTCTGATTAAGGTACGTAAGTAGGGGAAACAATACCGCAGTTGAACATTGTGCTCAGATTTCGTTGTGTGTCACGATTTGTCGTATTCTGGCCATCAACACAATAACAAATATAAACCGATATAATTGTTTAAATTTGTTATATTTAATAACTGCAACATGTTTCGTTCCATAAGTAGCATGAACTTCAGGCAGCTTCATTACTTGTCACACTGTTAAAAGATCCTAATATGGAGCCATATTAGTGTTAATCATTATAATTATTACTGATATTATAATTTTTTAACTTTAATATTTGAGAATTCTGTCGTCGTTACAGTGTAAGAGTCTGTGCTATATACAGTACCCATAATACGCAACAGATACAGAGAATTTTACGTTTTAACGACGAAAGAATTTTTAAAATTAAAAAAATTATAATTTCAGTAATAGTTATATATGTATTATGATGATTATAATCATTAACACTAATATGGATCCATGTTAGGGTATTTCGATAACATGAGACGAGTTTAATGAAACTGCCTGAAGATGGCCCTAAATATGGACCGAAANAGCTGTTAGGCTTCATGGTATTTTCTTAAAAAGCAAATGCGGCACTAATACGTTCCGTACATTGCTGCATTGTATAAAACGAAATGTTACCTCGCCCAACACAAACTGTTTATTATTTTCTAATGTTTTTACTAACGAATTTATGAATACATTGATACATCCGTAATTTTTAAATGCATCAGGAACTGTCATAATAAATATACAGCAAGAAATCTGTTTGCGTTCATAAGACGTACAATGCGCAAGGTGACTGAACCTGTTATTTTTATGCAATACACTCCAGTGTTCTGTCGAAGTTGATTCCATTTTGGAATTATTTTATGCCTTAGGGCAGTGTTTCCCTACTTGATCATTCTAATCATACTTGGAGAAAAGTTATGAAGCTCCTCATTATGCAGTTTTCTCTAACCTCCTGTAACTTAATCTCTCTTCGGTCCAAATATTCTCCTCAACACCCTGTTCTCAAACGCCCTCAGTTTATGTTCCTTCCTTAATGTCAGAGCCGAAGTTTCACACCAAAATTATCGTTTTTTATATTCTATTTTTATGTTTTAGACAGCAGACGAGAAGACAAAATTTCCTCCCGAATCAGATTTTGATTTATTATAGTCGTTTCCAAATATCTGAACTGTGCTACACTTTCAAAACATCTGTCAGGTGTCTTTCTATGTTATGGTTTTGCCCTACATTCTGGTGACGAGACAGCAACATATATTTATGTGCCTTACATTCCATTTAAAATTGAACATAGACCTGTTAAGATTTTAGGAGCGAAAGCATTATTGATGCAGGTGAAAATTATTAAGATTAACAAAAGATTATTCTGAAAGTTGCCAGGATTTAACAGATATATAAAAATGTAAAAACAGTAGAGTTGGTTGCAGTTATGAGTGAAATGCGTGTTAAAACAATAAGAGATATTACTAGCAGATCACAGTGCAGATTAATGCACAGTATTAGTACACATACGTGAATGCCGTATGTTGTTAATTGCATCAATATTTTAGTTGAAAAGTAACCGCACAAATGGACATGCTGTATAGAAGATTGCTTGGTAATGCACTGTAACTCAAAATGTCCGCGCACACTGTGTTCCCAGTTTACACTGCCTACCGCTGTGAAATAGCAGCCAAATTTTGCTGGCACATAAGATGCATGGATCTAATTAGTCTGGGAACAATACACATTGCAATATCATGGAATAGGTACTCTTCTTCTCGTATTATGCGTCTTCATACACTTACTACTACCTTCGTTGACATATTTATGACGTGTTTTAACGCAAACCGACAAAATGAGGAAAGGTACATACAGACAGTAGAGGTCAGAAATTTCCTCTGCTATATTGTTTGTTTCTGATACGAAAATAATTCCACTTTTCTATGGCTCCCTGTTTGAAATAATGCATTCGTTTTTAACAGTTCGTGTTTCCATTCAGTTTGCCTACTTGTAACCGTTAATGTAAAACGTTTTATATACCTGTACTCGGGAATACAGATTATGCTAGAAGGATTTAGGATGTGTTTGGGGGAATTTCTAACTATTTTTCTTTTGCAAGAAATGGACACATGCTTCATAATAATGACGGGATTTTATTGGCCGCTTTAATCCCACAATAGCAAGGCACTTTGTATTTACAGTAAACTTCATATGTCACACGTCGACTCTGAACCAGTTCGCAAACTAGTGTCTTTATAAAGTAATACAAAAAATATAAAAAATATTCTACTGTTCACTGTTCATCGTAATAGCTGTCTTCTCCTCAGAACGCGTGAATATTGAAATTACAGAAATGGAAGTAACATTGTGAAAGTGTTTCTTTGTTACCAAATATACTGTAGTGTTACATATCTGTAAAAAACAATGAAATTGTTTTACCTTACACTCGTAGTGGACGGCTGATGAAATGCGGAAGCAGAATAGCACCATAATCAAAGCAATAATTACAATAAAGTTCTTGGAGAAAGCGAGAAAGAAAAGAAGATAAACTACAATAAATTATTTCGTTCACAGCACAATGCTCCGAATCATTATGTACAACAGTTGTATGCTGAAACTGATATTCTATGTACCTGCGTTTATATTGATCAGCTTGGGAATCGTATTTACAAGGCTTTTTTTTTTAATTATTTTAACACATTCGCCGCTCTTATGGGTCACAACAAAAATATCTCGGCTTGAAACGGATCACTGAATTACACTTATACCATATTTACACACTATTATATAATATAATAATTTGATCTGTAAATCACTAGCATTTCTGGTTTGGCACCAAACACCGTTACACTGATTCACTGACTCAGATGTGTATGGCGACGGATCTGGGCGTCGTGTTCGTTGTGTTTGACGAGCCAGACGTGTTGTTCGGGTGGTTGTGGTTGTTGTGACGGTGGACGTGATGATGCACCACGTGATGGTGGTTGCTGTTGTTCGTGTTGTTGCTATTACGAGTAGCAGTACAAGTTCTCTGGTTGTTGGGAACATCTGGCAGAGCGAACCTCAGTTTTTCCCAGAATAATTTGTCCCCCCATTGGAGGTACGTGTTGGTCTTCAGGTACAGCCGGATGTCGGGGTCCAGGTCTTTCTGTGGCACTTCCCCGAGGAGGACGAGGATAAGCCTCCTTCTTCGGTCCCGCAACACTTGGTGATGCGCAGATTTGAACTCGAACCGGCACCACTCAGACTTGATGAAATTCTCCGACAGAACCATGATTGTTCGCCGGGACGATTCCACGGCCTGCACGATAGTGTCCGCTATAAAGGCGCCCACAGGGAAGTCACGATAATGGAGACACAGCTTGTATGGCGGGTCGCCATGCTCCAGAATGGGCGCCAGCTCCTCGGCGACAAATGCCTCATCCTTAGAGCTGTAACTAACAAAAGCGTCGAACAACTTGTCTCTGTCATCCCGATCGATGTCAGTTCTACGGTAGAAGAGCCGGATACCGAACCGGGAGTGGAACCAAACTCTCATTTCTTGCCGGAAAATGAATACCGCTAGTGTGGTGGCAACAACGATAAGGAAGGCGCATAAGGTTGCTATGAGGAGGGGCAGGTAATCCTGAATGGCTTGGCGTTGGATGATGGTCTTGGTGGAGGTGTAATTACCGTTGATGGTGTTGTCTATGACGTTGGCGCCGAAGCACGTGGAGTTTTTGTCCGAGATCAGGTAATACCCATTCTCCTCCTCGTTTTCTTCCAACATGACATTACCGTCCTCGAGTTCTGTTCCGTTGCTGGAGACACACCGAATTGAGGAGAGATCGCCAATAGTTTCGCCGGCATGCTGTATCCACTCTCGGAACTTATCAGTGAACCCGCATTCACACGACCATGGATTGGCGGACAGACGAATGTCTGTGAGGTCGGACGACAGCTGCCAGACAGAGAAGTGAGTGATGAGATTGTGGTCTAAATGCAGGACCCGAAGTTCCCGCATGGGCATAAATGTTGCGTTATGGATGGAAGTGATTTTGTTTCCTTGAAGGTACAATTCTCGTAGTCCCTCCAGCCCTTCGAACTCGTAACCCTTCAACTCGCGGATTCTGTTATCTTCTACGTGTAGCAGCTCGAGTTCTTTCAGTCCGTTGAAAGTCCTGTTGTGTATTATTTCTATATTTGAAGCATTCATGAAGAGAATCTTGAGCCGTTTGCGTCCAATAAAGGCGTGACTACCTATAGCCCGGATATCATTGCCGTCTAAGTACAACTGGGTAGCGTCCATGGGAATTTGATCAGGTAGGCGATCGATATAGCCGGCTCCAGCACAGTCCACCACGTTAGCAGACCAGGATTGATCGTGGTAACATGTGCAATTAGTGGGACATGTCATTTCACAGTCACAGGCATCGAAGTCACAGCAGTGGCATAATGCGAAGCAGTGGAACTCGTAGCGACACAGGAACTGATTCGGCGCAGCCTCCACAAGGGGGACGTACGTGCGTCCGCGGTTGTACAGAAGCTTGCAGTATATGCTGTCGAGGTCCATCAGCCGCGGCTGGTTCCTTGCTCGATTCTCCACATTAATCCTCTGCAGCCAATCCATGGTGCAGTCACACTGGTAGGGGTTGCCACCGATATAGAACTCTGGCAGGGCACGAAGTTGAGGAACGGCTGATATACGTAGCGAATTAGGATTTAGACTGGTTATCTTGTTGCCGAAGAGGTCCACACGGGTGAGGTTCGGTTTCTTGAAAAATGTGTAGGATTGTACTTTTGAGATAAGGTTATCATTTAGGAATAACAGCTCTACGCTGTCAGGAATGGCGCTTCCGGTGATCTCTGTCAGCCTATTGGAACTAGCATCAAATGTACTAAGATGAAGTTGGCTTTCAATCTCGAAGTAATTTCCGAGCTCAGCAATGCGATTTGCATGGATGTCCAGCCACTGTAGTCCTGTAGGAATTAACGCGTAATCGAACCATTCCAGCTGGTTGTCAGATATATTAAGCCATATGAGACTGGGAAGCTTTGTGAAGAGAGATCCGATGTCGGTGAGCTGGTTACCATCCAGTCGAATAGCCTGTAGATTAACATTAGCATCGAAGGCTCCGGGTTCCACCTTCTGGATTCTGTTCCGGGATAAATTTAATATTTTAAGAGCAGACATTTTTTCGAAGGTGCCTTTAGTGATATTTCCAATGTTATTTTCTGTTAAACGAAGTCCATAGATATGTTGCATTGTGCCGAAGCTGGAGTTGGCAATATTGGCAATGTGATTCTCGCCAAGGTCCAGTGTCTTGAGGAGTGGTACGTCGTTCAGTACTGTAGGAACTTCAAACAGTTTGTTGCCGTTCAGGTGCAAGTCCTGAAGGCTGGACGAATTTTTTAGTGCCTGTGGATGGATCGATTGGATTAGATTGTTATCTAAGGATAGTAGACTAAGGACATATAATCCATTGAAAGTGTAACTGTCGATTACAGCTAATTTATTGTTGGAAAGGATAAGAGTGTGCAGGTTGTATAGGGATGAAAATGTATTCTCTGGAATATTTTCTATGAGGTTATCTTCCAGTCGTAATATCTGCATGCTGTATAGATCCCGAAACACAGCCGGTTCCATCTTGGCTATGCGATTGTGAGACAGATCCAGCACTACAAGGCGTACCAACCCTGTAAACGTAGCAGTATTCACCCACTCCGCTGTTAGTTCATTTTTTGATAAGTCAAGTACAAGGAGTTGTGTTAGGTCGTTGAACAATCCCGGAGCCAAGACATTGATGGAATTGTTTTGCAGGTACACCTCCTTTATATCACGAGTATCTGCAAACAGTTCGGGTGGGAGACTGACTAGCTTGTTGTCTGCGAGACGAAGTATAGTGAGTGAGGTGAGTCCTTCCAAACACCTGTCTGCAAGAAACGACATCCCATTTCCCTGTAGATTTAACTTGTGTAGTCGTGACAAGCCGGAAAATGCTGCAGGAGGAAGTGAATCGATACTGTTGTTGGAGAGGTCGAGGATCTTCAGGTTACCACCACAGCGCTGGGAGGGATTGAGGTTTGAGGAGACTGTACTAGCGAACCGGAACCCAACCACATCGCGAAGTCGATTTCTAGTCAAATTAAGTGATTCTAGGCTGTGTAGTGGGCAGAACACTCCATCAGGAAGACTCCACATGTTATTCTCGCCGAGATCCAGTCGTTCCAGAAGTCCTAAGTCCTCGGTGAAAGCGTCAGGGTCCACTTCAAGTGTCATTGCAGACCAGTCCGTGTTGTGTGTGCGCACCGTGAGGTTGCGCAGTTCACGGAGCCCTCTAAACGCACCTGCTGAGAGGTTTCCGATTTTACAGTACTCGATGGCAAGATCCTTGAGTTCCACCAAAGGTCTAAAACTACCTGAGCTAAGTGAACTCTGAAAAAACAAAATGTCACTGCACTCAAGCCTCAGTCGGACCGTGTGCTGGGGCTGTATCACGCTGAAATTTGTGTTCTCCAGTTCACTGTTAATTGTTCTTAACCGACAAACAAGAGCGACATCTTCATCGAAGCCCCCTTCGCTTCCACCCGTACCCGAGAAATCACCTTTGCCGCCGTTCGTATTAAGCACCACCCACTTACACTCATCAGGCGCCTGATATCTCAGCGCTTTACTTAGCGACGCTGAGAGAACACCAAAGATGGCGCCTAGCAGCACCGTAAACACCACCGGACTGACTTGCATTGTGACTAATATTATTAGGTACGTGGCAATCGCTTGTTTACATAATTACTCTCTACCGTTATTTCCTCTCCAATCTTTTTAATATTATTCATCACATATTATGTTTCACTCTTTCTATCGAGTTTCACCACATTAACACTGTGCCACGAGAACTGGCCATAGATGGAGTTGGGGCTCCATAGACGCGTCGCGACGGACGGTGCGTAGCGACCCGCAGCGCTTCACGTACGAACCACCACTCAACTCACTCATTAAATCTGACAGCACCGGGTGTCGGTCGCTGTAAATGTATCCGCACCGCATTAAGATCCTGCCACTGATCGCACAACAAATTCAGTTTTGTCATGAATGTATGTCCGCTCGTACTCACTCGCACACTGCAACCGCAGCGAGCTCCTAACAGCTCGAAGCACTCCACTGTACTAGCCGGGTCTGCTTTGACCATGGCCTCGGTGCTAACCAACCAACCAGCCAGCCAGTCAAGCAACAAGCACCAACCTCACTCCCCTTCAGGGCAACCAGCAAAGAACTCAGGTAAAAAGAAGGTAGGCGAGTTTAGTTCCAGAGTCATCACCCAGGCGGCGTTCCAGTCAGTTTCTTGTTCGGTGCTGTTGTGTCAGTGTGGTGGCTGCTGCAGTCTCATTCCTGCGGCTTCGGCGAATGCCAATAGGGAAGGTCACGATGGGAGTTTTTGACACCCACTCAGAAGCGACCGGCGGCAGTGGCGGCCGCAGGAGCCTCGAGGTCTGCAGGTCAACACCACTGCCTTACAGACGCACTGTAAGAAGACATGGAATTAGCATTCATTCTCTTGCCTGGCAAATTAAGGGAGCTTTCAGAGGATCCACCCACCTGAAACGAATCGTAATAACACTAATAGCACTACCGCTTCATGCCCATTGTTTGTTTTAGCTGGGGCGTTAGATTTGCCTCGTTATTTTATAAGACATCGTATTCAACAGGGTTTAATTTCAGCAAGATGGAGAACTTAGGGAATATTGTTGGGTTCATTAGTGATGTAAAGTTTGAGTTAATGAACTGTAGCTTCTGTCTAAACGTATGAGTTTTGTTAAGTTATAGATCGGATATTATATGATAATATGCGTGATTAACATTATGGGACTTGCTTATAGAATGAACTGAATTTGTTTCTTTAGGACTATGTTAACATTTTACATTCTTCTTAGAAATTGCAAACCTCTTCTCTAAATCAGTATATAGCCCTGTCATAGGAGGTTGTGCTTGTCGGGGAGGGATGCATGTTCTAAATTAATGTGACTAATGTGTGTTAAATCTTTTATGTGAATGGCTGGTAGAGTGATGGATTTCTTTTCATGTTTATTTGTATAACTGATAGATGATACAAGAACAGGTTAACAATTTTTTATTGTGTTATTAAATTTTCACTTTGTAAAACTCCGCCCCCTTAATCTGCAAAATGTTCGCCAAATTCAGTTACATTATTCGAGCCACTGGTGCACGGTCTTGTACCCCAAAAAGCTGAAACTCATAAGAACATTAGTATTCACAGGTTCAGTTTGAAAAAATTAGACTAGTGGTAGCGGAAGCCGGGATACCTCAGTCGGTATAGCGACTGGCTACGGGCTGGACTGTCGGGGTTCGATTTCCGGCAGGGACAAGAGAGGTTACTCTTCTCCACAACGTCTAGACCGACTCTGAGACTTGCCCAGCCACCGGAGGGTCTCTGCCGGGGCCGTGAAGGTGACCATTCACGTCCGTCTGATGCCGAGGTCAAGGATGGTGGAGCTGCATTTCCACTCACCCATGCGTCTCCATATCCTGGTGCTTAATGAATTAAGCACAGTGGCAAGAATCCTCTGACAAAAATGCTCTCTTGTCCACTTTCGGTATTGTTGTTACATAACATATACATTCTTTGAGAAAGCCGGGATAGCGTAGTCGGTATAGCGACTGGCTACTGGCTGGACGACCGAGAGGTCGGGGTTCGAGTTGTGGTAGGGTCAAGAATTTTCTCTTCTCCACGTCATCCAGACCGGGTCTGAGCGCCACCCAACCTCCTATCAAATGGGTACCGGGAGTAAAGCGGCAGGGGCGTGAAGCTCGCCACTCACCTCCAACTAGTGCCGAGGTCAAGAAAATGTGTATCTACACATCCACTCCCCCATACGCCATCATGGCGTAGTGCTTAATTAGTTAAGCAGAAGAAAAAATGCCTTTAGCTTACATTCTTTGATAGATAAAATAGGATGGAAATGTATAGCCATGGTGTGACCTGTTGAACACACAAACACATTATACAAGAGGAAGAGACTATTGCCGTTACAGAAAATATTGTCTGAACTGACAGGTGGAAGAATTACTACCTCTCGCCCAGTGGGAAAGCCAAGGGAAGGGGTATAACACAAAGACGACGATTTCGTGGTTCTCAAAACGTCAGGTACCGTTTCTGAACTTCCTATTCTTGTAATGTTGTTTTCCCCATTCCTTCGTGAATGAGATTCAGAACCCAACTTTTATAAACAATTCTGTATAAGTTTCATTTTCCCCTCCCGCCGTCAGCGCAACACATAAATATAATTTTTGTCACACTTGTATAATAAAAACACCGTGCTTATGCAAGAAGCAGGTTGAGGCACGGGTGTTACTGGCGTCAACGACACCTTGATGCAGTGGAACAGCTCCTCTGACTGGCTCGCGTCTTGTGGTCACTTGAGTATATGGACCGCGGTAAATTGCCGGGTGTATAGAACGGGCATCAGACAAAACACGGGTCTCCCAGTTTTCATACACCCCGAAGCGACATGGCATATGTGTGTTTGTAAAGTTACATCGACCGAGCCGCGTTGGTTTATGGCAGTAGAAATGGAACGAAATCTGTGGCAGACTTGAAAATGCCAGCGTTTATATTTGTATGTGAAAGGTCGAGACTCACTGAGTGAATTTTTGTCTGATTTACCGGGATATCATAAAGCATCGGCTGACGTGCTTGTGTAGGCACGCACGCACACACACACACAGCATTATACCTGTGAATATTTTATTTCCTTTTTTCGTACCTTTTGTATTTTCTTTATATATACTTCTCTTCTGTAGTCTCTGTCCTTATTGCTATATTTCCTTCTTTTTCGACTTCTTCGAAGTAACCGGTATACATAAATAAAAGTAAAAAAAAAAAGGAAATGTAAATCTTTCCCTCTGACAGGCCATGGAAGCCCCATCGGGTTGTGAGACGTCGAGGCTCCCATATTTTCTAGACAATCGGCTCACAGATGGCGGTGAGGTTGTCAGGCTTACGCACCGGCCACCTCGTCAGAGAGACAGGACTATGACCGCAAGGATTCAGCTAAATAAATGATGGCCGTGAGTCTCGAGGGGCTTGGCACCAAGACGAACTGATTGGCGGTAAACCGTCAGTCGTAAAGTAACTCTGACTGTGACTGACTTTACAGATATCCGGAAATAAGGACTGGCTCTATCGATTAGGCCAAACTGAGTAGGTTTTACCTGAAGACGGAGACAGAACCCAGTCTCTGAAACATTGTGTTTTAAAATAGAAACAGGGAGGTGTTTTAGACAAAAACGGAGATGGATAATGTCCAGAAATGTAATATTTGTATTAAATGAAATCTTTTATGTAACTTTATTCTGTAACATCAGATATCAAAAATAAATATGTAAGGACACGTGCATGTACAGAACTAGCACGTAAGGTCTTTGAGGCAGTTTTGGAAACTACTTCGAAATCTTTCACGATTACCGATCTGAGTTGGACTGAACACGGAGACTCCTGGGGCAAGTAGTCCTTTGCCAGTAGAATACTAATGCGCGTCATGATGGCCGTACATACTAACACTCTTCTGGAAGGTATTCGCGTTCCTCTTGTACATTCGTTTCCAGCGTTCAGTTTACCCCTTAACGGCATTATATACGTATGAATATACAGTGGAAATACATACTTAGCTCTGTATGTAACCTGATGTCACGGCGGTAACTGTGAAGTTAATTATATTTCGTGGTGTGATACCTTGTAGTCTGGTAGACATTTATCGACGTTTCGGGTAGAACTGTACTCTGCAACGTACACAATTTTCAGAGTTTTTTTTTTTTGCGATTTTTTTTGTATCACTTTGTTTTTCGCCCTATGGCTACACAGCCCTTTGGTCCGTGGCCGATTTTTCAGTTTGTTCTTCGTGTTGACTTTAGCGGATAATGGGTGTCGCGTGGTCAGCGGAACGAATCCCCACGGCCGTTAATTTCGGTTTTCTAGACCGGAACCGCTACTTTGCCATTAAAATAGCTCCTCAATTATCCACTACTTCTCAGAAAATCAGAAAATCTGGTAGCGCCGCGAATCGACCCCGAGACCTCTGGATCTGTAGCCAGGAACTCTGACCACTAGACCACAGATGCTCCCCCTAACTTCGCCGACAAGCGGCGGTCGCTCGGACGGTATAGTTCGCTTGCGGACTAAAGTCACGGATTTTGTTTGTTCTTCCTTTTGACGGATTAGATCATTTGGCCTGTTTCCATTCGGGATTGATCAGAATCTATAAATCTTACAGGGTAACTAACAAACTCCATGGAGTTGAGCCCTTCTTGAGAAGCCGCCAGTTTAGCGGATACTAAAGAATTTTCCAACATTTTACGGAACCTGAAGTTTCATTACCGTGTCAACAGGAGTCCTCATAAGTTGTACAGGCGTTTGGTAGTATTCTTTAGAAAGGGATCTGCCCGTCGGTAGGCCACTACCTACGTAGGACAGGAAAACGCAGGCATCCATGCTTCAGGTGGAATTCGAACCCATGATTGCGGTTCGAGAGTGCCCTAGTCCGCTTCGCCACTGCGATAGGTCTCTTGTTAGTTAAAAAGGAATGAGAAGTCCTGGGAAAACTAATCGCCTACTTTCTTTTAATACAACACGGACCACATAGAAAACGATGCGTCCAACAATCCTTCTATTGTTGTATATGTATTCATTGCCGCGGTAACATTTTTACCGAGCCGTTGCCTAACGATGAAAGGGCGCATTTTTACCGACCGAAGCCTTTCAACGATAGGAGGGATACACATACAAACACAGACTGATCGAAGGAATTTATGATGTACGCCGTTGAAATGGCTTGAGATTCCATGATGTACATGCCAAGTTTAATGAAGATTGGTTCAGGCATTCAAAAGTTGATGGGTGGAGGATACACAGACACATACACAGCATGGAAATCGCATAAGCCTACTTTCATTTTTTCAGAATAAGGAAAATAGGCTAAAAATGTGTTAAATATAAGTGGTGCTTCGTGGCGCTACGGGGAGCCACTTTGGAGAAAATTCAGTTTTTAGTTTCTTGTGAAATGTGATGTTTATACGATTACTAACCAAATTTAAATTAATTCGATGTTTGTCAGTAACAGCATGTATCGTTATACACCTGGTAGTTTTGGAGATGAAACATGGGAAACTAGAGACTGACGTTCTCATTATGCATTCACGTACGTATATGTTCTGGGCAAAGAGTGCGTAACGAGTCTATTATCACACAGTGGTGTAAAACATTTCATATG